TGACACTGAGTAGAATACTCCACTTCCTGTTTATAATGGGAAAAGTGATTAAAGAAAATGAGTTAATGAGAGATCTGAATGACACTGAGTAGAATACTCCACTTCCTGTTTATAATGGGAAAAGTGATTAAAGAAAATGAGTTAATGAGAGATCTGAATGAGTGAAACCCTGAGAGAAGAACAACAAACGTGTCTTTTATTGTTTCTGACCCATGGGCACTGGGGCAGTTTTTTTCTTCAGCTCCAGCGTTGATTGGCGCACCATCCTCTGTTCTAGCGGCGCCAGACGCACCGAGCCAGCCTTAGCTCTGCGCAACAGTCTCAGTGGCTTCTATTCTGCTCTTCTAAGCTGTCCGGGTACACATTAGTACTCAAAACTCCCCGTTTTACCACTGGCGGCAGCAACTCCGGCTTCCAGCCTCCGCTCTGCGCAGCAGCCCCAGCTCTCAGCGTCGCCCGGTACATCAGCTTCAGCTCCAAGCCGGCTCTCAGCATCGCCCGACACAGCTGTCTCTGATTCTAGCCAGCAGTTCTTTCCAAACTCATCCTTTTCCCTGCTCACCGCGTCGATCCTCAAGTCTGCCGGCCTGCATCCCTGACATTCCTGAGGGCTGCCCTTTCAAGCCCATTCGATTCCTTTCAGGGGTTTCACTATTCGGGTTTGTACGCTCGACTCCCATTTTCCACTTGACTGTGGTTAGCAGCCTTTCTTTCCGCCAGGGATGCAGTTTGTCCGGCTTCTCCTGGGATGGTCGTTCCTCCCCATTACTCACCAGCCTGGGCTGATAATGCCCTGCTGGCCAGTAATTTATTATCTCACTTTCCCCTTTCACTTTTCACTCTCCAGTCTCTTGCGGATGTGGGTTCTAACAAATCACCACTCATATGGCTGTATCCAGCCGCAACACTAATAATGACTAATAATGACAGAACAGTATTGATTTACTTACAAGACAAAATGTTTTATTATAAACTGAAATGAAGATCCACAAAATAATGAGTTTTTTTATAATCAACACATACTGTAAAGATTTAAAAAGGACATAAATTGCTTGTTTTCATCTCCATGATTATACAATCACAAATTAGTATTATCCTATTACATATCTGTCTAGTATAAAATCTTACAAACAAAATATCCAACACATTAAATGAATAACACGTAGGTGAGAAAATGTATTTGGAAAGAAGATGGCCAGGGATCTGTATCATTTTAGTCAAATAAAATGTCAAAAAAAGGTGTGTGAAGGAGCCTTGATGGCCAGCCAAAAATACAATATTCTATACAATTATATTGATTCTGTGCCATAAAATATGTTTGTCTTTCAAGCCATCAAGCTTTTAAAAGTATTTTAAAGGTATTTAACAACATTAAAACTTTTTTTACAATGATAATTTTGTGAAATAATTCAGTGATGACTAAACCTTCTTCTCTGACAACCACTTTAGATGTAAATGTTTCAGATGCAATTCTATGCTACACATGTTTATTGCACGTCAGTAAAACTTGACATTTCTAATTAGGAGAAGTTGTTTGCACATTCTAGTTTACACAGCTGGAACCTCTGGAAAGTGGTTTTCTAGCACTAGTTGTTGTAGTTCTATGTCTTCAAAAAGTGTCATATGTTCATGTCTTACAATTGCAATGGACTTGTATGACCTGTACTTTGGGGCCTCTTGAGTTATTGTCCTCATTTTGACTGTTTTACCATTGCCAGGTTTTCCTTCCTTCTTGAAGATTTTGTCTAATTCATACAGTTGCTTCTTTACAGTGTCATAGCTCTCTTGGTCAATGCTGTAGCTAAAAGCCTTTTCGCATGATCCTTTGCAAGATCGAATCTTCATGTCAATATCAACCTGAGAAAGATGATTAAGCAACTTAAGAGAGGTTTACATTTTAACTCTAAACATTGAAACTTTGAAATCTGTATCTTGTGGTGAGATTTCTTTTTAGCTGATACTCTAGGTTTCTGGAGTATTATCAGTTTTTCAACTAACATTTAGAGTGCAAAGTATCACTAAAATATACTGCTATCTCAGGGATTTCTTACTGAATTCAATTAAAAAGTTCAATATCTACTGAAAGAAAAAATACTTGAATTCAATTTTTGCATGCCTCAAAAGTGTAAATGTGCAAAAGGGCTTAAACAAATCACTTAAGTCTGTGGTATCAACTGCAGGAAAAACTAACGGATTTCATTCACTGTAATAGAATTCTATCGCCACTGAAATATAGTCAAAGCTAGTCAATAATGGCCCTACAGAGGGAAAAATAAGAGCCAAGAGATGATGAAATGTTCTTATGAATAAAAACCATTTGAAAGTTTTTTTCATTTTGCACAATCCATTTCAATCACATGGTCTAGTTTCACATCATAGTTTTGTTGATCTATTGGCTTGTATAATTTCAACCTGAATTAAAACAAAACCTCAGTTTATCAGGGATTGATTGAGTATCCTGGGATTGTTGGGATATGCTGGGATTTAATACTGTTTTAATCTCAATATTACAATTTTACTGTAGTGTATTTTTTCCCCTTCTTACTCACACTTACTGCTGTGTATATTACATTTCTTGTTGCAGGAGGTTTGGGTATAAACAACCAGTGATTCCTTTTTTCTGGAGAGATTTCTGTAAGGATGTATATTTTTTCCCTTCCCCTCCCTGGCCTGTACATGATTTGTTTTACCTTCTGAAGGAATCTGCACTTGTGATGTAACCTGTTTTTAGGTTCTGTACACAAGACTGACTAACTTGAGAAAGAGTACAAAGTAAAGCGGCCTGAATACCTGGCTGGGGGAATCTGTTATTACAAGGACATACGAAGTACTCATACTCAGGAAGTACTGCATGCATTTAAGTCCTTACGTTTAGGGAAATCCAAGTTAAATAAAATTGATAATTTTTTTAAAGATGTACAAAAATGTTCTGCACTGCCTGGTTCATTAAAGTGATATAAAGCGTATTTCTTTTTCAAAGGCATACAAGAGTTTTTAGCATGCCTGTCTATACTTAATAATGTTTACATTTTTAGACCAGTACATAATTAATTTTTGAAAATGTGAATATTGTTTTTATTTAATTATTTTCTAAAAGTAATTCTGAACAATTTGTTTAAAAGATGGTGTTACAAACATAAAAAAAACTAAGAACACTCAACCTATTTTTCATTATAAGGCATTACACAACAGAAATTTGAGATTACAAGCTAAAATGTTACTGTATAGCTTTGTTAAATTATTATGTCATTATTCTTTATATTTCATATTAAGATGGTGTAAGTAACCTTTGTGTCAAGGTTAGGTAAATATTATTTTAATGAACTGTTTATACATAGGGACTGGGTTGTCAGGAAACCCAGGGAAAAATAATTGTAGCATTTTTATTTTATAAATGGTGTAATTGTAATGCACCAATATTAAATAAATTCATCCTCGGATTGCATTGAAACTCCAAACAAAATAAACCAAGCCACCACTGTGAATAAATCTTTAAGTACTAGTTGTACAGGGGAGAGTATTAAAAGACCGTTAAGAGTATTAAGCTGAGAGTTAATGAATTCATATCTGTATTTCAATAATCATTTGCCAAAATATAGCATTTATTGATGTTCTGAATCTTCTAAGTAGAAGACAATTCTTTCTATTCTGTTCGTATACAGATGCAAGTCTTCATGCAAATAAAAACTAAGCTGATTTACTGGAATCAACAGCATGGATTTCAACTATCAATCCAACCATTTCCTAACCACTTCATTCAATTGCGGGAGAGCCAGAACGTATCCCCGCAAGCAACGGGTGTAAGGTGGGGTACACCCTGGGTGTGGTGGGACACCTGTCCATTGCAGGACAGACAGACACGTACACACTCACACCAGGCACAGATTTCCCAGAATCCAATGTACCCATCAGAATGTCTTTGGATTCTGGTAGGAAACCCACATGAACACGGGGAGAACATACTGTACAAACTCCAACCAGATACAGTATAACACTCCAGGAATTGAATCCAAGGCCTCAGTGCTGTGAGGCAGCCATACAAACCACTGTGCCACCATGCCTTACATAGTTATATGCATTTTATATATTTCATGCAGTATTGACAGCATTCAAAATAAGCACACTGGTCCAAAACAATGGTCATTCAACTTGAATATTCAACATTTTCATTCTGCTTACCTCTGTTTGGTACAGTGCTGCCATTTGCTGTTCAATTTTGTCATACTGGGCTTTGATCTTCTTGAAAAGAGCAATAGTGCGCTGCTGCATGGCTGCCAGTTTCCTCTGTAACTCTTCTGTCAGTTCCATATATTTTGTACTCGAAACTATAGGAAATGTGAAATAAAACCAACTGAATTTGGGCCAATATAATACTCTTAATGAAACCATACTGCATGAGGGATTTTAAACACTATCTAAATACTTCTAGTCCTTTTCCACCTATTAAACTGGGTGTTTCATGGATGCTGGAGAAATCTTCTTTCAGTTGGATGACAGCAGAAATGGAGGGGGGTGGGGGGGTTAAATGGCTGTGGAACCCACCACAGCAGCTGCCTTGGACTGACCACTAGGAATAATAATAATAATAATAATTGCTTACACTTATATAGCGCTTTTCTGGACACTCCACTCAAAGCGCTTTACAGGTAATGGGGACTCCCCTCCACCACCACCAATGTGCAGCATCCACCTGGATGATGCGACGGCAGCCATAGTGCGCCAGAACACTCACCACACATCAGCTATGGCCTGGGGATGAGCAAAGAAGCCCAAATCTAGTGCAGACTGCAAATGGGGGTTGGGAAAACAGGAGGACTATGCTGACTTTAAGTTTGCATAGAATGGCCAGTGTCTCCATAAGTGTGGAACATTCATTTTTCGTAAGCTTCCCATTGACCAAAGGTCCTCCTTGTGCAGACACTCGTGAGATACCACGCAGTTCAGAGGTGATGTGGGATTGTCAGGTCTAATTGACTCTCAGACTGAAAGGGGGGCTCTAGAACAGGGTACAAATACACAGTGCATCATTACACCTGGTCATCTGCATTCCCCCACTTTGTTAATCAGCCCCAGGCTTTGGTCACACCCAAGACATTAAAGGGACACTTTCACACACCGCCCCACCAGGAACAACTCTTGAGCCATGGTTTGGGGGGCTTCAGAAACCCCAGTGATCTGGACTCAAGGGGGGGACAGAGACAGAAGAAACTGGAGGAAACACAGCACCCGGGAGAAGACTCGGACACCAGGGACACTACGGAGAGCAGAGGAGGAATGTCTCAACATAGTCTTTCAGCCTATGTTAGGACATTAGCCTGCTACCCGAAGCTGGATTCAGGAAAAACAGGGTGGTGGAGTCATAAGGTACCAAAATAAATGGCCAGGACTGATGAAGATGCCTGAAGCTACACACTGGTCACAGACTGGAGCTGGGTTTTAGTAACAAAGATGCTGGAGTGGTCCTTTGGGACATTTGGGCTTCAGTAACTGGTATCTGAGGGGTTCTTCTACTGTTGTGTGAATAAGTGCCTCCTGAGGATAATTTGTGTCATGGGTCCTGTGTGATGGGTAGACTGAAATAAATGTGAAATTACAGTATGTAGGATGACTGCCTTGCCTGGTCTGTGGGTGCACATGTAGTTCTGGAGAAAAGGGTCCTAGCACCCTTAACATTGCTAGGTGGTGCAGTCGGCTCCAAAAGCTAAAATCATACTGTGTTTAGGGGTCACCACCAATGAAACTCCATTAAACGAAATGGTTTGTCCATCAACTATTTTTCTTTTCTGTAGCACAATTGTTACTTACCATAATTTGTGACAATGCTTTTTCTCAGAGTAGTATAGGTCTGTTTGGTTATAACTTTAGAAGCTTCAGTTTTAATTTCATTCATTTTAATTTTTTGACATATCTGATTAAACTTGTCAAAAAACTTTGTTTCTGTGGTGTGGATCAATCCTTGTATTCTGCAGCCTGACGGACATTTGGTACCCTGTGAAAAAAAATTTAGATAAGAGTACGTCCCCTTTCTACATATTCTAACTTCTAAATATTATTCCCTCGAACATCTTCCATACAATTATCTAGGTAAAATGTAACATAATCATGAAAAACTGATGTTTTTCTATATAAAAACAGTGAAACACTAGTTGTATTAACATCATTTATTGTGTTGGAGGACTGATGTTTCTTAAGTAGATCTCCTTCAAATCCCCATTTCAAATAGTCATCAAATCTATTAATATTTTTTGCACAATGATAGTATAACAGAAAGTGTTTTACTGTTGGCAGTGAGCATATAGCCTTTCCTCTCTGGATCTGTCTGTTGCTCAGTTTCTACAGCCAGGCTGTGGTCACGGATCTTTAGCTTCATCAGGGTTTTCTTCAACAAGGGTTTCTCCTTGTTTTCCTTCACTCCAGTCAGATAGTCTGCTTGTGTTTGTTGTAATTTCAGAGCCTAGTAGCATTCCAGTTTTTTGTGTGTCCCAATGGGCAAGGTAGTGTTAAGAACATAAGAAAGGTTACAACTGAGAGGACTGCATTCAGCCAACATAGTCCATTTGGTAGTTACTAGCTAATATATCAGAGAATCTCATCCTGCTTGAAAGAAGCCAGGCTTTCGACTTTAACAACATGACTGGCTAAACTGTTTCTATAGTATAATCCTATGTGCCTCTTATTCTGAAATTCAGATACAATCCCACATAGTTTAATGTTTTTTGGTTTATGCTGTAATTTGGTTGATGCAGCTTTGTGGTGTTTTAGCTGGTCTATCATAAAGTAAGTTGGTGTCAATGTGGCTCAGGGCAGTTAACTTCAAGACCAAAGGATAAAAGGGACTTTTCTCTGGGATCCAGAGGCCTTTGTGGTGATAAGAGCTCTGGTCACTGCTTTTAAAGTGATTCTTGACAATGTCTGTTTTATTGACAATGTGCTGTATGAACGGCAATATATCCAGTATTCCCACAACAATATCATTATCTTCATGCAGTTGGTTGCATTTCAGAAAAACACACACGACTAAGGAAAGTTCTGAAACTCAGAAACTGGTACAAGTTTGAAAAACCTTAACATTTTTTAAGACTTCCAAAACATATTTGTAAATAAGGCTCAAATATTATTGGAATCAATTACCCTGCAATTAATCATGTGGAGGAAACCCAGAAGATACAGGAGTACCTCAGAATATGAATTAGGAACCAAGATACTAAAGGATTATGGTTTCCTGTGTTGCAAACCTGTCAATAAGTCAGCTTGTGAAGTATAAGAAGCATTTTTTGTAGGCAAGTTAAGTGCTTGATGAATATCTTAAAATTCCAGGAGTTCCCTTAAAAAGCTGCTTAAATGCTGTGGAGTATAAACAAATGACACTTCTCAAATATTTAATTATGCTTAATTACTACTACTAATGCATTGGCTTTAACTAAACTAAACTAAACGAAATGACATTAATCACAAACTTATAGTAACCAGTTAAAACAAACAAGATGAATCCCTCCTCCAGCAGATGTCTGCACTTTTTCTCTCTGCCTCTGTGATTAGCACACCCCACTATGATGAAACAGCCAGTAAAGCTGTCAGTGAGCCTGAAAACTCATCACCAAGCTGTCATTTCCCACACCGCCGATGCAGAGCTGGAAGTGTTCTTTACAGTAAAAATGACCACACTGAGATGCAGATGCTGGGTAGTGGGTACTTGGGCAGACAGCAGGGAGAGCATCACTCACTAGCTAGAGTCGTCTCACAATCCTAGTCTGTTGCGCCACTAAATTGAAAGTTGCCATTAACAACCTTTGGCTCTGTTTAATCCCCCTCTGCTCTTCCTTGATCCAAGACCCTGTTGGCCAGACAGGATCACTTATAATTTGCCAATGTAAAATTTGCAGATGTCAAGACCCTACAGTATTATCTGCAGCAATGATTGAATGGTAGAATGGGGAAGATGGTACTGTAGTTTTGTTTTGATTTTATTAACAAAGTCTGTAACATTCTAATAAACTGCCATCGATAATATGCTAGTAAGGTAGTTTTATTATATTCAGACTTCTTTATTTAGATATTTTACTTACCCAGTCATCGTCTACACACAGGGGATAGTCTTTGTGAGGAAAGCACCGCCCAGCTTTTCTCTTATATTGTGTTTCTTCAGCTGGTTGTGTCCACATTGTTTTACACACTGTAAGATAAAATACATTTTTTCTTCAGAACTCAGTAATTATTCAGTTTTGTATTCATTTTACCTTTGAAATGTCCTTAGTTGTAAACCAAAGTATTATAAAAGCTAATATAACAAAAAGCAAAGTTAATATAGATTTACAATATAATAGGTTACAGAGACAGACCAGTCTCTAACAATCTAAAATTATAGTGTTGATGATGGGGTTTTCTCTGCTTAGGTCTGCACTTTCACTATCTCTATGAAACATTAGTTGTTCATATAATGCATATTAGCTCAGCAATATAATGCATTCATTATATTTAGTTATGCATAACTAATAACAGTTTGTGAAAGTTTACTAGATGTAATTTCAATCGATAAAGACAAAATCAATATAATTTTATTATATTGAAAATGTGGATCTTTCTAACCAGTAGCTTTTCGACTGAAAAAAACCTACACTAAAGATTTTTACCAATAAATACAAAAACATTTGCCTTTTCTTGATTACTTATATATGTACACTACAATTCAAGCTAGTGGAATTGGCCATTTAGATGGTTCTGCTTTTCAATGTTGAAAATGATACAGTGAGCTTTAAATAATATTACTTCCCATAATTCATGATCTCTTCAAAACTCACCACAATCCTATGTTATGTATTGTATCATATCCAATTTTCACTGATTTTAGTTGTGTAAAATTGATAGATCAGTAAGAACTCTTTAATAGTTTTTTTAAGAACCATTTAGTTTGAGAATAAAAAATCAGTTTTAAAGGGAAAAATATCTAGTGCTACACACTCACAACAAAAGTGACACATTTTATATCAGCCCAAATGTGTAACAGTTATATAGATGGTAGTATTTTTTGTTTTTATTTGTTGATGTGCACCCACCATTTCATAATAATCCTGACATCCATAAGTAATTTGATTAATTAATCTGGTCTACAAGAAAGGTAGCCAACCCCCGTGAACAAACCTCTGAGTGCAGTCTCACAAGCTGTGCAATGTGCAGTCTGTCTTGAAGTGGGAAAAGCTGCATCAAGTCATTTCACTGTGCATAAAGATGTGGCTGTGGCTAGTGAGAAAAGCGGTTAGCTTTCTGAATTTGTAACTGGATGGTTGTGGTTTTCAAATCCCTTGAGCAAGATGGTTCACTCGAATTACTTCAGTTCAATGCAGTAAAATAAAATCATATATACAGTAAGTAATAATAATGCTGTTTGTACAGAAGTAGATAATCAGTTGTATTTCTTTGAGTTCAAATCTATGACTTAATGTTAGTTTCATTGCCACCATCATTTTCCTGTGGGGGGACGCACAGAAAGTTCAGGAAACCACAGTAGACTGTCGAAATCATAGAAATCATAGCAGGTCAATTCCTGCTAGAATATCCATTATTTTCTGGATCAGTTTATCAATCTTACATTCATTGAAATTATTACCGTATAATATAGATACATTATAGGTATAATATGACCGCAAGCTAGAGGAATTGAAGATGAAATATTATTATAGTTAAGACTCACTGTGCCTCTCTTAGTCACCCTGGTGAGTCTGTATTTTGTTCCATTGTTAATATGATGTTGCCTGTCACTGAGGGTACCCTGGTCTTGTAATTTCTAAAAACATGAAAAAATGCTTTTAATGTAGGTATATATTGATATTGCTAAAATGATACTGAAGAAAATGAAATACAAGAGATGACATACACATATGTTTATTAAAATGCTGCTGGCATTAACAAAAAGGAAGTACAGTGTCTGGCCTTCATTTGAAATCCATTCAATATTTGGTTACTGGGTTTCTGCAGGTCTTATTTTAATTCGGACAACTTTAAGTGAGTAATTTGCTGGCTTGAATGGTAGCCAGACTACACCATTTTCAATCTCATAGGGAATTTTGCTACCTGGATCGTACAGTCCCCCACTGTAATACATGCCATTCAGGTTGGCTGACTGACAGTTGTTGTACCACCAGCCTCCACCATACATCTCTGCACAGTTCTCTTCCCACTTGTCACTATCTTTGTCATATGTGCTAAACTTCATGTTGTTGTGGGATAAAAATGTACTCAGCTTAGTCTCTCCCTTTATAAGAGCATCTCCAGCATCACCATCATAATGGGAGACTTTCAGAATGTAACCTTCAGACTCAGATCCAATGCTAACAGAATACTCAGCATAGACTTCATTGCCCTCCCAGTCCTCCAGCTCGACCCTGAGAATACTCTCTTTCTGGGTAAGAAGGTTCAGGTATTTATTTCCCAGCCAAAGCTCTCCTTGGCCTTGCGTGTTCACGCGGCCAAATCCATGCTTGTACTCCTCCCAGGTTCTGTTGAAGTCGACAGATCCATCCATCCTCTGTTGAACTAGGACCCAACCGCCTAATAGTGTTTCCTGGTCACAGTAGACCTCCACTACATCCTCTGTGCCTTCCGGTTTAATTTTGAACAGGCCGCTTTTTGTGCCAGACCCATGGTTCTGGCTGATGTCTGCACAATCTGAAAAGTGATAAGAGATGTGAATTAAATTTGTTCTAACTGTGTTAGTAGTTCCAGAATTCATCAGAAACACATTTTGTTGACAGGATTTGGACCTAAGACCTTCCAAAACATACAGTATGTCCCACAAAATGAGATCAATCTTTAGTGATATCACAAAAGTATAAAGGCTGCCACACTTACAAGAACTCTCCATTAATCTAATGTGACATATTAAAGGAGTAGCATTTTATTATTTATGTAGGATTCCTTTAACACCAATCACTCCAACTGACGGATGTGAGTAGTAATACTTTTATCAAAACCTATTAAATAAATATTTCAGTTAGTATTAGGTAATATTAAAATAACTGACTTAAGATATATCTCAAGTGCTATGATTCCTCTATCAATATTATATAATACATTTTAATAGCTGTGAATAAGTAGTTTCTATGAGATTCAGTTTAAGTCTGAATTGGGCATTGTTGTTTGTTTTTTTAAAAAAGGTAAAAAATCATGAATAAATTCAGTTCCTTAAGTTATTTTTTGCCAGGAAACTGGAAATTAGCTTTGGTTTCTAAGTAATTACAATCTAATTAAAACAAGTTATGTTTTGCCAGATAAAGATAACATCTTCATTACTGATTTGTGTTTACCTCTTCCAATGTAGTCTTTCTGGCGTTTCACGGGTTCTTTCTTCAAGCTGCGAGCTCGGAAATCAGGCAAGTCTTCTTCTTCATCATCAAACTGAAAGGCACCCAAGTCATCCCCCATATACATTGAAGTTTTAACAGTCTTGGTGCCAGTCTTGGTGCCAGTCACATAGCTCGATGAATGATCTCCATCACAACAGTTTGATCCTCCATTTACCACAGAAGTCTTGGAGTATGAAGAGGAGCCACCCCCTTCGAAACCTCCAAACCCGTCATGTATACTTCCACCAGGCAAAATAACCTCCTTTTCAAATGTATGAAAGTCATCTGTGTCCCCCAGGTTTACAAAATCACCATCACCTCGTTCAGTATGTACAACTGTTTTGATAACTTTGGGCTGATCAGTGTGTCTTGTTGTGGTGGTAGTTATGGAAGAACCACTTCCCCCAAACTCTTTAGTGGTGGTGGTTGTGCTATGCTCTCTACGAAACAATGAGTCAATGTCAGGGAAAAATTCAGACAATCTATCTACTCCTCCAGAGTTACCAGTGACTTTTACTGTGTAACCACCGCCAATATCTTTTGTTTCTTTGGCAGCACTGAGCAGAGCAGCATCATCAACTCCCAAACCTAAACTTTCACATTCTGGGCTGCCTCCTACTACTTCAACAGTTTCTACAGGGCCGTCCTTTGTGATCACTGTTTTCTTTCTAATGGTTTTGGTACATTGCAGAACCTTAGTGTGTGTTGTAACAACTGAGTCTGTTTTTGGATCCTTGAATTCAACTTTACTGCCAGAAACTTGCTTATCTCTACCTGAAGTCACAGTAACAGCTGGGGACCCTTTGGACCTGGTGTCGTCAACTTCTAAGGATAGTCGCACTTGCTCTATATCTTTGAAGTGGGTTAACTCCTGTTCACTTCCATTTGCAATACCAGATTTATAGATACTGGAGACAGTTGAGACCTCCTTTAAGGGTCTGCTCTTCATTACTCTCAAAGAGCTCACAGTTTCAACGCTTTGCATGTTAACGCTGTCTAATTGAGATAGTTGCTTGTCCAGGGTAACGTAGCTGTCTCTGTCAACTGTGTACTCATGGGCACTTGCACAAGATCCTTTACAGGACCGGATTTTGATGTCAATGTCGACCTGATAAAAAAGAGACAGTAGATAAAAATAAGAACAAAAAATGCCTAACAAAAACTACAAAACATATTTTGAATGCCTTAAACCTTGTAATTCAGAAAAGGCAAATCATAGTTTAAGTTTGTTTAAGAACAGCAGCAAAATCTGGAAATACCCCTTCAAATGAGTGATTTTGACTATTATATTATACTGATGGGCTCAACATTGAATATTTAATGATGTCATATTGTATCTCCTTATTTCAGATATGGGAATCATTAGAGTAATGCTTATTTCAGGTTTAATGCTTTATACATTTTAAATTGTCCTTGACAAAGACAGGTGGGACTTCCAATAAGTGCAATAATCACCAATTAATTCATATAGTCAATTTTCCTGATATGATATTAATACTTTGGATACTGGATATGATTTAAAAAATCTGGGGAAAAGATAGCATATACCTCAGATTACAGTTACCAAGATTGCCTCAGAACGAATTCTATACATTTTAGAAATTAAGAAATGGAAACTAATCCCAATATTTTGTTTAGCTAAGGATCTAACTTATAAAACAAGATACTTTAATAATAACACAATTTGTATTTACCTCAATTCGGTGCACTTCATTAACTTGATCTCTGACCCTACTTTTAAGTGCAATGAGCAGACTGTTTTGCTGGTCAATTTTCAACTTCATCTCAATAATCCTTTGACGAAGCTGGTCTGCTAAATTCTGGAACCTGTTATCAGCTCCTGCAAAGATGATGATAAAATACTTTTTTAATGATGGTGAACTGATATTCAGAAGAGTACTGATATGAAACGTGTCTTTCAAACATCAGAGTAGATTATACAGTAGATGAGACCAATTTATGCCATCTGGGGAAAAGTACATTCAGAGAGATCATATTTTTTTCTTAGATTAAAATGCATTTAAGAACACATTTAAAAATTAAAAAAATTAGAAAATGGAAAATAATGTGGTCTTCTCTTAGAAATTTGAAAAAGAGAAGTATATGATTGTACATGCAGTAAATTAAGTAAAGAGCTAAAATATGTTTGAAGGTAACTTCCAAATCATTAGTCATTTCTCTTCTGTTTTTTTTTTCCTAAAGAAAAATCTTGTAATCTCGTTTACCTGTGTTGAGCACCAGTTTCTCCCTCAAAACGTCATAGGTGGTCTTGGTGATCTGGTCAGCAGATCGGTATTTGTTTCGGTTTTCATCTAAAAACTTGCGGATTTTGTCGATTTTATCAGCAAGGTCCTTATCAGCCTTGGTTAGAAGCCCTTGTATTCTGCAGCCAGAAGGGCATTTGGGACCCTACCAATTTGAATAAAAAATATTGTTTCATTGTTTGACATACGCTACCATGATGTACAGCCATGTATTGACTATAACCAGGCACAACAGGCGAAATAGGTACAGAACTTATCTGAGATTATTTCTATTGTATCGCTCAGATACAACCAATAAAACAAAATAAAAGACCTGATATGACTATTACATTGATTTGACATGGATGTGTTCAGAATAATGAAGAATCCTTGATGAGAGTTCTCACCCTCATCTTCTCGTGCTTTTTACACCAAGAGCTCATGTCTGAGGATGAAGAATGTTAACAGAAAGACCTCAGCTATCTTACTTTGGAAGTTCAAGACTTGTGTATTCTGTTGAAAATCTTTCATAATATACCTGTTTGACAACATTTCATATACAAAATTGGCATAGCATTTTTCTCTCTTGGTGGGGACTACAGGCTTAATTCAATGTTTCTGCAAGAATAATTGATATGATTATATTTGGGGAATGCATGTTAGCTGTCTCACAGCTCTTGCATCCTGTCTTCATAATTAGGCCTGGAGTACACTCTGTTTCAATGTTACATGTTCTGCTCAATGCCCACATAGGTATTCAATGGGTGATTGAAATGGGTAATCAGTGGACTCAATTAATTGCCCTGTGATCCCTGTGATGGACTGGCATTGCTTCCAGGTTGTTTTCTGTTTTTTTTTTTTCCCATTGCCTGCTGGATTAGGTTCTTTCTCATTGCAGACCTGTATTATACTAAACAGCTATTGAAAATAGGTCGATTATTATATCGCAAAACACCAATTCCAAGACATTTAAATCATTGAGTAGCATATGCCATTTGGACCTTCTCTGATAGTATCATTTAAAGGTTGTTTGATGAACCAGCATTTTCTTGGCAAGGTAAAGCAGGAACTTAAGACTTTGTACAAAAAACCGTACCCAGTCTTCATCCAAGCAGATTGGCCACTCTTTTTGAGAAGCACATGCAGCTTTGCTGCCATGTTCTACTGGTCTGGGTCCTCTTCCACTGGCGCCAGTTTCGTGAAACGTGGATTCTGGCTGAAAATCATTAAAGAATTAAACCTTATGACTCATATATTATGGCATTTTCCCAAATGCACCTGTTAGCATGGATTGCTAGTATTGTGTGAAAGGGTGTGTCTCTATAAATGTAAAATGTTATTTAACAATATAATGGTAATACTTCCATGGCACATCATATTTGTGTGTGGTGCATCTGTGCATTGTGCAAAACATCTGGCAAAAGAGTTCTGTGCCTGGTGCATAACACGAGTTCACATGCAAAACAATTATTTGTCACCTTTTACCAGTCTGTGTGTCAAGTAACTTACAGTACTGTATGTTTCCTATGTTTAATGCACAAAATGTACATAAATCTGGAAAACAATATCATCATACCTTTTCAGTATGTTCCCATATTTTAAGAACATTACAAGAGCTTTACATTTTTTTCAGTACTAAGTAATTCAATGTGAATGAAAACATTCTTATGATCCTGATATACCGTATATGGTAGATCCTGAGGGAAAACGAAAAAATCCTCTTGATTGAACAACTGAACAATCCACATGGAACACAATGATCCAACTGAATAATGAATTGCACAAACTGTCAATACAAGTAAACTATCCAGGAACTGCGGAAACTAGTCAAAATGAATTTACCCTAAATGGCATGTGTTTTCTAATACAGTGTGTAATTTAGAATCACAATTCTTGTTATATCTACCCAACTTGGAATAATTGTGCACCTATACACCTCGCCATTGCATACAGGAGAGAATGAGGACTGATTCTTCTGACCCGCCCCCTATCAAGCCACACATATTTTTACTGGCACCACAGTCCCCTGTCAGAGATTCGTCCCCTGTTGGAGGAGAGGCGTGTCTCTTATTAATTCTGATTGTACGCATTATTTCAATAAATGTGTTTGAGCAACAAATCAGCATAAGATACACCTAAATGAATAAATTCAAAAGTACTTGGAACAAATTTGACATCCATATGTACCAGAAACATGGAAAGGTAACTCATATATTTAAGAAATCAAGAATCCTACCAAGACTTCTCCTAAATCCTTCAAATCCAATGTGAATAAAAAACAAAGGGAAGAAAATACTCTGAAACACGTTATGAAAAGCAAGCAGTAAATGTTTTAACATACTCAAAAAAGAAAACTGAAAAGTTGGTTTATAGTTCTTAATTAAATACACAGTTTGTGAAAACAGATTACTAAAGGTTTCATACACACAAGAGCTCACTTTTCATAATATCCACCAGATATTCCAGAGGGTAGATTAGGGGAGAACAGGTGATGAAAGTATATTGAAATATGTTCAAAGTATAAGCTAAATTATAAAAGCTCTACTTTTTAAATTAACTCACTTGTTAACCTTTTCATTATAATTTCTTACACAGAAATATTAGCACTTTAAAAAAGTATTTACTATTTGCTTTCTAAATCTGTGTTATTAAGTGTAACCTAACAATGTCTTAAATGCATAGGAAAATACCTTTATATCACTTAATAATAAAGTTACCTGTGATCGTTGAATAAAACCAACAATATCAAGTCAGAGCATACAGTACATTTTTAAAAAGCACTCACCTTTGCTGTAGAGAAGACTATAAGTAACCAGCATAAGTGGTATAACTGCCCCATTGTTGTTGGTGGTGTCAAAAAGCGAGCTGAAATGTCAGATCTGCTTGAATATGTATCCAATTTGAACCCTTGATGACAAATCAAAGTTTGCTGACAATTTACCACTGTTTACCAAGCTAACAAGCACACGTAAGTAAATGATTAAAGAAAAATTTCTTGCACAATTTGAGGTGATTTGTTTTGGCTGCCCTGATGTTCTTTCTGACACAGGACTCAGCTATTGATTTTAAGATTTTTTAAAAAGTTGGATAGTGGGCTGCTGCAATGTTTGAGACCTTTGTACTTGGATGCGCATGTACGTTCAATGCCTCCAAAAGCACACAGAGAGATACCTGAACACCCACACAGGACATCACCCTTTCATTTCAGATACTAATGAGTTCTAATGTCTGGAAACATTATGTCTCATATCTGAATACTGAACAACTCCTTGGTCAATGGTACATGACAAATGTCTGTCAACAGTTTACAAATACTGCTGTACCGTACTTAAGGTTGTTTGCTGTGTGTTAAATAAGAATGAATCATTGGTTATTGATCACTTACGAGAAGTTAAATAATGTATTTGCTGACAATCAAGTTTTTTGTTAAATATTTTGAACTTCGGCTTTATACATAAGAATGTCTGCTCTTTTTCCAGTTCTGTTAGTTAAAGCCAAATCTGATGATAAGAAAGTGAAAGACACTATATCCTAAATCATAATGTATTAGTTTTTACACATTAATCTAGACATTTTCTTGGAGATTTTCTTTGACAATTGATTGTAGTGAGCACTCATCTAGGATCCACACAAGGGTTTTACATATAGGGAATACAGTCCCTATCTACAGTACATATCCTGTAGACACCTGTCTTTAATAAAACTATAGGATGTTGAGGCAGGGGCATGATTAAGAGGTAATATAGTAGAGTCCTATTGAAGCCTCTAGTTTGTTTGGCCAGTGTTTTCAAGAAAGAAGAAGTGTCACATTAATATTTTGTGTTAATTACAAGGGTTTAAACTACATTTGTTTATTTTCTACACTCCCAAGGATCACTGAGGCTCTGGACCATAATGTTCTCTAACTGAAATCTCTTGATCTGAACAGTGAATACTAGACAGGCGGGACCTGCTCCAAGCGATAGACTGAAGATTGTTTTTTTGTTAACCCTTTGCTTCAGAAAACTGAACTGATCTTGCTTGGGTTTAAGAAAGTGACAGAACTACTGCTCTGAGGACATGAGGTTGTTTTGTTGCCACAAGTGGTGTTGGTGGAAAAATAGGTGGTGCCATTCCTTCTGGGCCAGAATCTACAAACCAATACACCAGTATGGTGAGCAGAGACACTATGCTGTAGGAGATTTTTGTCCTTCAGATAAGATGTTAATGGATTATGTCGCTAAATACTCCATGGTACTATGGTAACCCCAGGGTCGTGGCTAAATTCTTTTCTGGTCTTACGCAATCTGCCTTCCTGAATATCAAATGGTGAAGCAGCTTCTTACTCCCCCACTTCATCTACTGTTTAGTAAGTGTAGGCTTCTGTAGATCACAGTGTGGGTGATGCTCTTTAGTGGTGGATGAAGTCGCTACCCTCCTGTAATGTAAAATACTTTGGAAGAGAAATATTTTATATAAATGAGAGGGGTACAATTTTAAAGAATTTTAAAGTGTAAGAAATTAAAAGATGACTGAAGTTAGTTGTTTAATTTTCTTCCAATTTACAATAAATACCTAATCATGTTAGTACAGTATATGCTGTACAAGTACTGTACAGCATGTCAGTGATCTTCAGGAAGATCAGATGAACTGTAAGAGTAGAGAGACCCACTGTAACTGTAGAAATCAAAATACCCAAAAATACCAGGGTACCGGCAGAGACAACATTTCTGTTGGAGCTGATCTACTGTATTCTGAAGTTGTTTTGATCCAGTACCAAAACAGAGTAGAAAAGATAAGAGATTTAAATTATGGAAGAATAAATTGTATAAATGTTTCTGTTTGTTGATTGTCTATTGATCCAAATTAAAATACTAGATATTAAAAACAAATGGCCAGCACAGTGGCACAGTGGTTGGCATTGGTGTCTTGCAGCTTTGGAACTCTATCTGTGTTCAGTTTCTCGGGTGCTATCTCTGTGTTATTATGTTCTCCCCATGTCCGTGTGAGTTTTCTAAGGGTATTCTGGTTTCCTCGTGCTGCCCAAAGACAAGCTGGTTAATTAATCTCTTTCTGTAAAATTGGCCCTTGTGTGAGTGTGTGTGTTGGTGTCTGTGTATGCCCTGCGATGACTGGTGTCCTGTCTAGGGTGTATCCTGCCTTGCACCTAATGTTTCCATGATAGTCTCTGAGCCACTGCAAGTCTGAAGTGGATAAGTGGATAATGAAAGTGATGATAACGATGATGATGATGATGAAGGAAAATCAAAATATGTATTAATGATACATTATACCCTCAGGCAGCATACCTGAGGGTATAATGAAGAAATAGGGAAAGGGATATAGAGACGAAGAGCTCTTCAAATAGTTTCCAGACCTTACCCTGATAGCCCTAGCCTGTCATAGGATGTTTATCTTTGACCTCAGTTTAACATCTATAGTTCATGCTTTGTTAGTTAAAAACGAACTCACCTAACTTAGGTTATGCTATAGTATTACATCATTAGGAGAGAACCACCAAAGCTGGGGGGGGGGTTGAGTTTCAAGGCAGTCCACACAGCGGCAGCTACAGTATGCAGACGAGATGGGAGTCTGCTTGTCTGCAGTGACATCAATGAGAGGTGCACTCTTTTTCCAAACTCTCCTGTGAAGCGCAGCATAGTCCTCAGCACATTAAATACTATTACAGAGTTTTGATTACATGACATGTTACTTATGAAAGTAATTGATTTATCCAAATTGGGAAGGTGTAAAATAGAAAAGACAAAAAGTTCAAGCTACTGTACATTCTCTTAATACAAAGAATTGTTTAAATGCTACATAGAGGTAGTCAGTCATAATACCTTAGTTGTTATAATACCTTGCAAACAGATATTTAAAAATATGAAATGGCAGTAAATGCAGATTCACATTTTCTTTCTGTAAGCTAAGTGATTATTTTTTCAAACACAGGCTATGATAAATTGTTGTAAACCTATACTTTTCAAATTGAAAGTGCACAAAATCATCAGATATATCAGCTATATCTTTATTTAAAAAAGGATATGCATGTATTTTGTGTGATGATATTGAAAAGCTAAATAATTTTATAATAATGTTTTAATATCAGTTTTACAGTCTAAATTATTAAAGCATCGGATTGTTAAAAAGTAAATTAATACAAAATGAATGTATGTACTGTACAGGTATCATGGTGGTGAATTCTGAGGTGACTTTTCTACTGTACAGTACATGAACATAACCAGCTTTCCACCAGACAGACACAGAGTGAAGAACTAGAGGCCTTTAAAGAGCATTATCAATTGGTGTTACTTGTTTCTGATTTAGTGTAAATTAGTACTGTGACTAATGCCTTTATGTCTAATTGTGTCTGCTCCATTCATTTTCAGTAGACATTATTCCAACATGTATTGAATGAATCATCAATGGAAATAGGCAGCATGGTGGCAAGAGGCTTTTAGTGTTGTTGCCTCAAATTAACTGGGCCCTGAGTTCAAAGTTGGTTTTCTGTTCTATTGTTTTTCCCACGTTCATGTTGATTTTTGTCAGGTGCTCAGCTTTTCTCCCACCAACCAAAGACATATAGTTTAGATTTTCTGCTGTGAATAATCCCTTTCTAAACTGGGAGAGGTTTTTTCCAGGAATGATGAGACTTGGTTATGCCACCAAATCACACCTACTGTAAGTGAGCAAAATGGACAGAATGTCCTCCTCTCATTTGTAGACTGGAAAATGATTCAGTAAAACAATATTGCTGGAAACTAGTAATTGTGCATTTTGTGCCATTGCAATAGGATCAAATAAGGCTTCCAAGAATTGTTGAGTAGAAAGCATGAGAGTTTCAGCTGTTAAGAAAAAATACTTTTATTGTTCTAACAGAAAACAAACCACCCTTCTACTGATACAGTGCACAATAGTCACTGTAATTATTATTCTGGTAGGTACTGGAATGATTTTAAAAAGAAAGATTTTGTGTTATTTGTGTGCTTACAAAAATAAATAATCTAATAGCTGATATTGAAATCATTATAAAGCCACCAAAGCTTAGATGTATACATGTAAGGTTTGCCTTGTGGCATTGTAAAAACGGAATATATAGATCCTAAATTCCATAAAAAGTATATTACTCTTCCTTTTTGAAGTGAATATTTAATTTGTCATTTGAAAAACATTTTCAACCAAACAATGAAATGGACTAATTTGTTCATGTGAAATCTCCTCAGCCCCTTGTATTATCATTGCCATGTACATTCACCACTTTTCCACTACAGTTTTTCCATTTCAGAGCTCCATGTAAGATCAAAGAGAGATATCTTCCAAAGATCACAAGATAGACGTTTAAACTTAAAAAAAGACAGGTTTATTTATCAGACATCCAGGTATTCAAAACCAAATTAAACTGTTTTTAAAATGGTTTAACAAAAGCAAATCCGGTCTACAATGAAGTGAAAAGGAAGACGTGGTGTTGTTCAGTTAATCACTGGGAAATAGCAGGGCCTATTGTAACTGGTCCTTTAGATGTCACCCAGTCCTTGTTTCACACCAGTCTGCTGCTGTCCACCGCCAGCAGTCATGCGGTTAATAGGAATTATCTTTATTGTGGTTTCTTTAAAGGAGTACCAGCGATCGTGCCATGTTGTCCAGATTATGCCATTGTCAAAACCGTGTTCCCCAGCATCTTCCTTTGTATACCTTCCACCTTGAAACAAGAATCCAGATTATTTGATATTACAGATATGAATAGAGACACCCATTTAAGTAATAACACGATCTTCTGAAATCTGTGCTTTTCATTTAAGGACACCATAGAATTCTGTGGTATTTTTCCCTTAGAAAAAACAAATTACCTGATTACTTGTCTTTCCAGTTTTTAATGCAATTATAATTTGTGCCCTAATGGACTATCCAGTGCTAATCAGAATTGCTTTGATGTAGCACATAGAGAGGGAAGTTAATGAATTTCAGACAATTAACTTTACCTGTGTAGTATTTGCCATTGAGATGGGCAGCATGGCACCGGTTCATCCACCAGCCTGAGCCATCCTGTTGAGCGCAGTTGCCCGGGTACTTGTCATTGTCATTGTCAAAGGTACTGAACTGCATCCCATTATGAGAAGTGTAGAACTTGTCACTGGGGTCTTCCCCAAAGTCAACACCATCAAAGGCATCACCGGCATCACCTCCATAGTAATAAGCATAAGTCAGGCGATACTTGTCTGCCTCGGGGGCTAATTTGAACATTGCGTAGTCTGCATGTCTAGAGTCAAACCAATAAAAAGACAAAAATGTGTGTTAGTCTGCATTCTGCAATGAAACACCACATTCAAAGGAAGGAGAAATAAAAAAGTAGAAAATATGTAGGACAGTCTCAAAGCAACATACTGTAGCAACAAGCAAAGCTAACAAAATGCATTTAAATAACTTAAGGTATTCTAACATACATCTGTGATATGTGGCAATACTGTTTTGAGTTCTATTCATAAAAACTTAAATATTCTTAAAATGTATGCTAGCCCACAATACATGCCAATAAAGATCCCATTACTTTAGACTTGTGTAGTGCAATTATCTATAGATGCTTTAAAACCTTCCCTGCGAAGCAGTGTACAGCATATAACTGTTCAGCAAAGTAAACTGTTTTTAACTTGGCACAGCCAGTACACACAGCAAGGTCAAATTGGTGTCACCTCATATTTAAGATAGAATAAGCAACCGTTATGTAATATGGATCAAAGTGCAATGTTTCACAAGAACTCCGCACTTCAAAATGTTCACTAATTATTTAAGATAGCTAAGACAACTATTTACAAGTAAGATGTATTGAAGTACTTCAAATATTTTTTATTCAGTTCATAAATAAAACTGACAACTAAGCACGTTTTATGGATATACAGTAGTCAAGAAATTCTGTTGTATAAAAACCATGCAGCGGAGACTTCTCAAATATGACCAGGTTACGCAGCTTTTCATGCCCTGATATGAAAACATAGCCCTGACTTTCCTAACTCCTAAAACCACCTTTGTTTTCTTGAGTTATATTTAAGTGAAAAAATACATATTTTATATTTTTCTACTTTGTGCATTTGTATGTAGATTTGCATTTAAATGTTTACTATAATTCCCAGCAAAGTTGCCATCCCACTTTTCTCCAGAACTGAAAATCAAAAGAATCACCCTCTTAATCTTTGCAGAATAACCACATTTCTCAATCTTTTCATTATATTATTTTATACTGTACTTTGTCTGGCCATTCCAGTCTGTCATCTCAAGCCTTAGAATATATGGAATACTGGACTGGGTGGAAATCAGATGAATTTTTTCATTCCCAATCCAGAATTCAGACGTATCATCTGGAGTCAAGTAACCAAATCCCTCTTTGTACTGAATCCAGTTCCTGAAGAAATTCACAGAGCCATCACGTCTCTAAAAAATAAAGAAAAATATGTATTTTTCCTCATGTATTGCAAATGAATTTTGATAAACAGTTATTTAAATTCTACCTACCCTTTGAAGGACTGTCCAACCATTCCCAAATCTGTCTATTTGACAGTAAACCAAGAATTGTTCTTTTGCTTTTACTGGTTTGATAAAGTACAGACCGCTGACCCTGGCACCTTTGTTGGTAATGTCTTGGCAATCTGATAGAAAATAATAATGCAGCAGAGAAAGAAATAAAATGAGTAGCAGCAACACTGACCACTGGCTTAGTACAGAATGTTATCATGATATACCATTGTTCAAAAAATACATATTCCCAAATCATCTTAAATAATACAGGACAACAAAAATGTTTTCTGTTTACTTAGGAACCAATTTAAAATTCTGACATTTGTCAAAATACCTTTTCCAGTAGTTGGTTGAATCTCAACAGTATCTTTGCAGGGCTGTTTACAAGATTGCTCAAGGTTGAGAGCCATTTGTTTGAGTTGCAAAATTCTCTTGTCATTTGAATCTATAATATTTTGGAGCTCACTAGGAAAAAATAAGTAACAGAGTTATTTATACGTAACTGAAATGGCACCATACAACTAAAAGAATGCCTTTCACCAATCTATCAAATGCAATAAATGTAATTTGTTAAATGACAGCTACAAGGAAGTTATACTGTATCTCTTCTTAGTTTACTGATTTTTTTCTAGCAAATTGAATTTAAGATGTTCTAGTGAAATACTGCAATACAATATTCCTGGCGAGAATACTTCTGTCCATCTGTAGAGTTGCAAGCAAATATCCACACCTTAAGTTATATTAAGTTATTTGCTTTCATTAGCATTATTATTCCATTCAAGTAGCATTATTTCATTCAATACAACCAAACGAGATTTTAACTTCAAGGCATCTTAAACAAAACAAAACCAATCAATTTACTCACTATATCTGTCCCTCCTGATAGACAATACTCTTCTCAAATCGCAGAATATCATCCAACATGCTGCTTGATTTTTTTATGTAACTATCTGAAATTAAGAAAACAATTGTCTGATAAAAATAGAAATGGGGTATGATTGTCCTAATACAATAAAGTTTGACTAAGTTGTGCGATGTCAGTCGATTCTGAAGTATGGTACTTATAGTCTTATAATGTCTACAATGTTGTTTTGGGAGAGCATTTACTAGCGTTAGTAGCGTTATATGTATAATACATTCTAATCATAATCTTTCAGCGATGTATCCATTGAAATGCACTTTACCTGGTGAAGACTTTTGCGCAGCTGTACTGGAGTCTCTCATGTATACTACAGTTTCCTGTGCCCCTTTAGTTAAATTTGATATCTGGGTTAGTAAATTCTCCAAGTATTTAAGATCCTCATCAACGCTGGGTTTGTATCGCTGTAGGTAATCTGCGATTCCACATGTTGTGGGACAATATCGCCCCTGTAAAATCAGAACAAACCCTCAAATAAGCAAAGAATTAAAGTTGCGCCAATACAACAACAACAGCATCACGTTGCCATAGAATATAATTAAAATAAATGTCATTTAATGTCAACATTTCGTATAAAACTTTTACAAATAGTGATACATAGGCCCTTGAGTAAAAAAAACTAACTTACGAAGTTATCACTTGGGGTGCAAACTTCCGGTTGCGATGAATATTGCTAGGAAAATAAAGCATAACGATTTAGAGACGTTTTAATTTTACATACAGTACATCGATTTTCTCTGAAATGGAATATGACTTACCGCCAAACTTGACGAAACCATAAGGACAAAAAGGGTTATATGAAAGAAAGTCTGCGCTTTCAACACCCCCATGTTGTAGTTAAAAGTCTTTGTTGCCTTCTCTGTGAAAAGTGAAATGTCTCAATAGGGAGACGAAATTTATCTGATCTGTACTCTCCATGCAGCCCAAGATAATGGGAGGTGCATAATCTCTGAGGTCAGTTGTATTGACAGCTGTCACTGTATCCCAGTTACTCACTCTGTTTGGAGAACATTTTGTCAGTCTGAATTACGAAAACGTACTTATTCAGACGTAGTAAGCAATTTATTAAAAAAAATCATAGTTCCCATACTTCTTCAAAAGCCAACATAACCAAATATGTAATTATATACAAAGCTACATAAGCTACATGGAGTATTAGTTCACACAGTTTCCAACTACCAACTAAATTACGAGACTTGTCACATGTGTGTGATCTAACAGTATCATGATTACTGTAAAAAGCTCTGAGAAATGTTTTTTTTCCATTGGTTCAAAACCTAGTGTATCCAGTGGCAGCTCCAGTGAGGTAGTGTTAGTGGACCATAGAGACATTTTGCCAGCAGTGAGATGCTTTCACCACTCACAAGCACACCTGACTGCTTCCATTGCTTCCTGCAGCAGTTCCAGGAGTGTCACCCATAGGCTGTGTGTTGGTGAGAATTATGAACCTATTCAATTGGACAAAGAATGAGAGCTTCTGGGACCTAAGGCCCAGTTTTGGACTACTGTACATCAGGAATTGCTTAGGATGCATATACAAGCCAATAGCAAGGTGTCTCAAGTGGATGAATATTCAGTGG